CCACCGTGATCGTAAATTTCCTGAGGCCTCCCCAGCCATGTGAAACTGTGAGTCAACTAAACCTCTTTCCTTTCTAAATTATCCAGTTTCAGGAAGTTCTTTATACCAGTGTGAGAATGGATTAATATAGTTGGCCACAGTTGGTGTGATGATTACAGTGAATTGATATGAAATCTCTAAGCAAGTCTTGGTACTCTGAAGGTACTCAGAAAATTATGGTTTTTTCCATATTGCAAAATTATGGTAAAACATGATAATACTCTGGATTGTTACTATTTCCTTTGAAGACTCCATAATAGATTTATAAATATTAGGATATATCTTTACCATTACATTCCAAAGGCAAGAATAAAGATGAGCATGGAGACTGAATAGGTGTAGCTAGAGAAGTTGGCCAGTCTGGTTCCATATTAAATGGGTATTTTCCTGGCTAAGGCAGGCACATGACTTGAGGTCAGGGGTTTGAGACCAGCCTGCCCAACAACACGGTAAAGCCATGTCTCTACTAAAAAATACAAAAAATAGTTAGTTGTGGTGGCATGTGCCTGTAATCCCAGCTAACTGGGAGGCTAAGGTATGAGAATGGCTTGAAGCTGGGACGCAGTGGTTGCAGTTAGCCAAGATCAGGCCACTGCACTCCAGCCTGGGTGATAGAGCAAGACGCTGTCTCAAAAACAGACAGCCAAGTTATTTTCCTAATGTTTTCTCATTAGGTGATTTTTGAATCAAATCACTGAAGATTCCAGTTAAAATACATATACAGTATCTGGAGGCAACAGGTGTCTCCAGTCTCAATTGTGTATTCTGTGGCAATCTATTTCTCTAAATAAATGGCTATCAGATGCAAGGCAAGCTCACATTTAGAAATGTCAGCTCCACAAGTACCCCAGCTTGGGTGTTGGTTGGGTTGATTAGCTCTGGACACCAGGGTGGAGGCAGAACTGAATTCAAAGAGACAAAGGGAAAAGGAGTTGTGAAGAGTGACAATGTGAACCTATTTGGAAAGATACCTGTGGGAAAATGGAAGGTGGGAACATCAGCTGGTCAGTAGGGTAGGGACAGGCCTGAGAGCTGGGAGTAGCTTTTGAGAATTTCTCCAGGAATAGGAAGAGTCCAGTATTGAAAGAGTTCAGATAAACTTAATAATCTGTATTTGTTAAGCGTTTACTAGGTGCTAGATATTATTCTAGGTATACTGGGCAATAGGATGAGACAAATTCTGGGTGGCCGAGGCGGGCGGATTACCTGAGGTTGGGGGTTCGAGACCCGCTTGACCAACATGGAGAAACCCTGTCTCTACTGAAAATACAAAATTAGCTGGGCTAATGTGGTGGCACATGCCTGTAATCCCAGCTACTTGGGAGGCTGAAAATTGCTTGAACCTGGGAGGCGGAGATGCAGTAAGCTGAGATCGTGCCACTGCACTCCAGCCTGGGCAACAAGAGCAAAACTCCATCTCAAAAAAAAAAGTAGTTACGTTTAATGCACTGTGAGAACCGAAACTGAGGAACTGCACCTGGAACCTGCAATGAAAGAATGGACCGTTCCTAGGACTGGTATCTGAAAGAAATTAACAGTTACATTGTGGGTAAGATACAGAAAGCTAGAAGTCTTGTCTATGGTCTAAATTATACAACGCTTATTTAATTGAAGTGATTTTTAGCCAATATTTGAGCTTTCTGTAAATTCCAGGACCTCCTACCACTTAGAAAATTGATTTTGCATGTAAAAATGGCTATGTGTAATGCTGTATGCCTACTGCAGAGAAGTGCTATCCAAAAGAAGTAAAAAGGAGAGACCATAGAATCCAACTTGTGAGCTCAACAGGAGAGACTGTTATGTCTCTCTTTACTGCTCTAGTCTCTCAGTGCTCTGCAACAGACATCTGTTGGCAACTGAGTAAATGAGTCAATGAAATGCTGGTGGGAGAAATTGGCAGCCCTGAGAGTTCTTTTCTTGTAATGGTACTCAGGTTCCATTCATTACAATCATCTATTTGGCCAGAAGTTATCTTAACCATCTTGATCCCTGACCTAATTCCAAAGCCTGTGTTTTGAAAAGGAAGCAGAATCAGTTTAAATAACTGATTTCATGGCCAGTAGGATTAGGTAAAGTGACAAAGGTGATTCCTGGGCATTTCTCTGTATGCAAGAGTATTGCTAGGCAGGCTTGGCTCCATAATTCAGTTGGAGAGGCTTCATCTACTTCATACAACTATATTTAGGTTGGATGAATTTGTTTCAACTGCTGTGATGACTAGTTTTAATATATAAATAATACAGCTTATGAGGTTTTTGTAAAAAGGTGATTCCAAAGGAAATTGATAAAATATTTTTCCAGATTTGTGACCATATTATTTACAAAATTTGGAGAAATGTTAAGAGGACAGAGTTTTGGAGTTTTTCACCTACTCATTCAGTACACATTTACTGAGCAATTTTTATAAAGTCAGGCACATGCTAGGTCCTGCTTGTTAGGACATACTGGATCTGTGACTAAACTCATTATAGTTTTCCATATAGTTTGTTATGAAGCATCTTTTTAGAATCTCAAGGTCTGTCCATATTCTTCTGTGTTTCTCTCATCACTAGCAAAACCTCACATTTTGATAAAAGTATTTTCTTGAAAATTGTGTTTTCTTCTGCTTTAAATTTCACTTTGGGGACAGTCAAGAAGAAGCAATGTCAGACTAATTGCACTAATAATAATAGAACCCAGGCGGCTAGCTTTGATCTTGGGAACCATCTGCAATCCAGACCACTTTGATGTTTCACACAATGGAAGCATAAATATTTTCCATGTACACCATGATTGGACTTTCAGAAATCTAATTAAGATGAAGGTCAATTAAGAGAAAATGAAATCTTGACTCCAAAAGTCAGGGAAGAGATGGACGATGATGGCATGGTTATGTGTACATAAAAGAAGCTAACCTAATTATAAACTTTTACAAACATCCAGAGAAGTTGCTTTTCATGTGACAAAAAGGTCCTAAAGCATTTTATAACATTGTGAATATTAATGTGTCTTTGAAACACACCCAGCATTAGAAAAGAATAGTAATAACTTGCATTTCAAAACTCTATTACTAAAAAATTTGAAGACAGCTAGGGATTGAAGCACTTCAGAACTCATGAAATGCAGCCCGCTGCTCCTTGGAAATGAGTGCCATAAACTATAGCAGAGTCATTTGTATCTGTTGGATTCCTCTAAGTATGCTATGAAAGAGATTTTCCTGCTTGTTTTAGAAGTCTGCAAGGCTGGAGCAAGGCTGCAGGTAATAGTGCATCCCAGCACAGCCTGAGTAAACTTTAGCAAGTTTCCTCAGGGAATCAAGCCTCAGTTTCCAAATTTCTAAAGTAAGAATAATGATGCTTATCTCATAGGTTTAAATGGTTGTGGGGATTAAACAACAAATATAAATCTCTCTTTTTTTTTTTCGTTTTTGAGATGGAGTTTCACTCTTGTTGCCCATGAGGGAGTGCAGTGGTGCAGTCCTGGCTCACTGTAACCTCATCCTGGGTTCAAGTGATTCTTCTGCCTCAGCCTCCTGAGTAGCTGGGACTACGGGTGTGTGCCACCATGCCTGGATAGTTTTTGTATTTTTAGTAAAGATGGGGTTTCATCATGTTGGCCAGGCTGGTCTCGAACTCCAGACCTCAGGTGATCCACCCGCCTCAGTCTCCCAAATTGCTGGGATTACAGGCATGAGCCACCATACCTGGCCAGTATATATCTCTTAACTCAATGGTGCATGTAGTAGGTATGTGGAATTGAAAAATTCCTTATCTTCCTCCTGAGAGCATGGGCTTTAGAATCAAATGAACCTGAGTCTGAATCACTTTTCTTACATTTGTTTTCTGTGTCGCTTTGAACGGGCAGTTTTACCTCCTTGGGCTGTGATATTTTCAAACTCTGAAATGGACTCAATGGTATCTACCATATTGGAGTTATTGAGTAGAAAAAAAAGAGAATTTATATAAAATCTCTGGCACATAAGAAGACATGAGATGACAGAAAATACTCCTCACAGCCTGAAGGATACTTTCAAATAGCTTCTTGACCTTTTGGCTAAGATCAAGTGTAGTATCAAATATGGGTTAAGATGTTTGTGCATGTGGGTCTGGGTGTGCTTATGTGCGTGTGTGTAGGATGTGTGTACATTCAGTGCACAGAAGGAAGAACTGTGAATGCTTCCCTTTGTCCCTGTCACTAGCCACAATTGTGTGATGTGGGAACTTGAATCTGAATGATGTAGAGTCAGTGCTAACTGAACAGGGTAAACGAATTCTCTTTATTCCTGTGCTGGGTGACACACATCATATAGATCCTCCCCCCACCTACCCTCTTTTGAACTACATCTAAGAATCCTTTCATCCGAGAAGTTCAAAGTATGCCCACTTACCTATGCATCTTAGTGAAATCTTCCTTTCTAAATGCCCGCACTTTGGGACAAATAGGCAACTGGAATTAACTTATCAGGCATTCTTGTTAGGCATCAGGGACACATGGTATCTGACCACAGTCATTCTAATACGTTCCCAAGGCCAATTATTTAAATAGTGGAGGACAAAATGTAATCCTGAGGCATTCCCTCCTGACAAACAATGCAGTAAGATGGAAATTCCCATTAAACCAGATACAAATTGTTGTTTTTTTTTTCTAAAGTAGTATGACCTTGATTTCCACGAAGAGCAGAATAGCAACCGCCAGCAATGTTAGTGCTGTCTGATCGTGTTTTTTAATTCTTTAGTCTGAATAAAAGAGAGAGGGTATTGTTAAATGTATTATGGATTACATTTAGAGTTGATAGAGTTGATTTATCCAATTCAATGGCCAAGTCCTGCCCTTGGATGTGTTCAATGTATAAATGTACATTCCAGGCCAGAGGAGCATCTGCTGGAAATATGATGCTCTTTTGCTAATGGAATCTTTAGAGCTCAGGGGAGGTCGAGGTGCACCCTGGGCACCCGGCACATGCTGGGTCCTGCTGTACTCACAGTTCACAGTGACCTTGACTTGTTTGACATCCGCCGAGGAGACCTCATTGGCAGCTTTGCACTCGTATTTGCCTGATTGCTCCCGGGTGATGCCGAGGATCTCCAGATACTCTTCTTCTCCTTCAAATTCCCTTCCTGAAAAACAGAGGTTTTCATGATTCTTTTTTAAAGTCTGAAATAGGCAGCAGATCCTCTCATTATTCTTTTTAAAAGCAGTGAATTCACATGTCTTTCAATGATTTGAAAATGTACTTTGTCTGACATCAGATTCTACAGAAGCAGACCTCAAGACAAAAAGTCTTGTGAAAGTGATTGAGTAGAAAATGCTCTCAGTAAAAAACAGAAAGAAAATGGGAAAATGAGACTTGGAAGAGAAAGAAGCCAAGCTAGAGTAGAATGCCAGCCTAAGTCCCACGGAGAGCTACTGTGAATCAGTCTTTCAGGGAGGCCTGGGGACAGCTATGTCCCCCTTCAAAATTATTCTGATATGAGGCTGGGATCTGGGGTGTTTAAGGTGTCTGTACTCACCAGTCACTGGTTAAGGGTTTGGAACAAAGTGGGTGCTGGCGGTAGGTACATGCAAATCATGAAACCATGATGGGATCTTGCTCCTGGTCATCCTACACTAATGGTATCAGTTATTAGCTCTGCTCAAATGCCATATGCTGTTTTCCTTTTTTGGAAATTCCCCGACGACCAAATCAACAGACAGCTAGCAAGAAGACAAATTTACTGTCTAAACATGTCAGCTAAACCTGTTAACTAGGCTCCTACAGAACATAGGGCTTCTTTGCTAACATTCTACAACACAACTCTATGGGCTATTCCAAGCTTCAAGTCTTCTCTCAATTGTCCGTATCACTAGTTTTGAGGAAACTACAATCTTGACAAAAAACAGGCAAGAGTAATATAACATTATTTGGTTCTGATGTTCTGCATACTATCCAGCACATGCTTCTACTGAGAACACTTTAGAGTTAGTCTGTAGCATATAGTTGAATATTAGTTATAAGAGGTTAATATTTCCCTGTCTACATTTTTCTCTTCTCCCTTGCTAACATTAAAACCAGTGCTTAGATCTGATTTTACATGTTATTGAAGTGGAATATGGTAGGGAAGAAAACAGTACTCTCAGAATAGGTAACTGGCCACTGTTTTGGATTAATGGGGCAGGATTTGGGATTTTAGGGGAAAAAGATCTTTCCTGTGTATTGTATCTATGGACTAAGTGTCATACCAACTATCTGATGCTAAGACTCTAGCTGAACATAAATACCCTGAAGACTAATGGCAACTTTGACAATTTGTTTATGTAACAGGCAGAAATAGGTGTAAGCTCATTAAAAACCTAGAATGCAGAGGTAGAATAGAAAGTAAGATAGCATTATTTATTTTAAGAATGATGGTAGATTATAATGAGAAAATAATTAATTTCAGAATGTTTTAAGATTTCTTCCCTTCCCGAACATTCCCACTCATAACACTTAATCTTAGTTAGGCATAGTTGGGCTGGCAGATTGTCAGTAGAAAGAGAGAACAAGGATAATCTTACAGAGGGTTGGCAACACTGAATTCTTTCCAATTCCCATGAAATACCTAGAAATGGTGGATTATGGGTCCCTACCTTGCTTTTTGAATTACTAAAAAAAAAAAAAAAAAATAGTTGCAGGAGAGAGATTATTTTTAGCTGTACCAACTAAAGCCCTACCAATTCTGGAAGATTGTATCCATGAAAGCATGAAAGTAAATATTAAGATGAATGAGAGAAAATAAAACAGTATTTATTGTGTTTGGGGCCTGGCCTTCTAACATACCATTATAAGTATTGACAATCTCATTTGTTCCTGATAAGCAGATAAAAAAACAGATCCTTATCAGATAAACTTTTGATCTCATGTTTCTAGAATTTGCCCCTAAACTACCTGAGGATAAAAGAGTTTTAAGTGACCCACATGGGAGGCGGAGACATCATTTTTGCTTCTCCTATGATAGCTCTCCTCCTCTCTGATAGCACCTCTGTCTCTAGTGCACGATGTGCGTAGCTCTTTCAATGAAGTGGGGGCAGGCTCAAGGTGCAAACCAATTACAGGCAGGAGAAGCTACACTGTATTCCATCATCCAACAATTCTCCTGTTCCTTTCTTTCCTTTGCCCCAGTGTGTCTGTCCCCAAGAGGGCAACTTTTCAGTTGCTTCAGTTCTGACTAGCTGCTCTCAACCCAAGGGTTCTGTCAGTGTTTCCTTTTATTTGCTCAGCCTTAAGACTCTTAGGCCACAAACCGATTTTAAAACATTGCGAGACACCCCTGGGCCCTCCCTGTTGTCATGCTTCCTTTACTTGCCCCCTGGATCCTCCAGTTGAAACACTTGCATTCCCTGGCCCTTCCTGACTAGTGTGTTCTAGTAACACCCTGGAGACTTTTCCCACAATGCATTATCTCTACTGCTTCACTTGAGAATTTCCTGCCAATTCACAGAAATCTAACAGGACATGGGGGCTTTTCTGTTGCTGGAGAGCCAAAGCTTCAGATTATGAGCCACACAGCTGCCGTGGCTTACTCTTAATATCCTCATGAACTAGCACAGGGTTTGGCTCTCAATAAACATTAGTCACTCGATAAATGTTTGTTGAGTTAGCTTGCTACAGACCCAATGCTTGTGTTTCTCCAAAATTTATATGTTGAAACTTAATCCCCAAAGTGATAATGGTATTTGGTAGCGGGTTCTTTGCAGGTGATTAAGTCATGAAGATGGAGACTTTATGAATGGAATTAGTGCCCTTATAAAAGAAACTCCAGGCCGGGCATGGCAGCTCACACCTGTAATCCTAGCACTTTGGGAGGCCAAGGCAGGCAGATCACTTGAGGTTAAGAGTTCAAAACCAGCCTGGCCAACATGGTGAAACCTCATTTCTACTAAAATTACCAAAAAATTAGCTGGGCGTGGTGGCATGCTACTTGGGAGGCTGGGGCAGGAGAATTGCTTGAACCTGGAAGGCAGAGGTTGCAGTGAGCTGAGATTGAGTCACTTATTCGAGCCTGGACAACAGAGCAAGACTCCATCTCAAAAAAAGAAAGAAACTCCAGAGAGTTCCTTTGCCTCTTTTGCTACATAAGGACACAAAGAAGAGACAGCTGTCTCTGAATCAAGAAGTTAGACACTAAATTTACAGGGCCCTCATCAGACACTAAATTTATTGGCACCTTGATCTTGGACTTCCCAAGCTCCAAAACTGTGAGAAATACATTTCTGCTGTTTATAAGCTACCCAGTCTATGATATTTTTGTTACAGTAACCTGAAAGGACTGAGATAAAACTGGACTGAATTAAGAAACTCAAAGAGATACTAGAGTTATTGCCAACACTTCATGTAGTTTAAGAGAATAGAGCCAGGTATTGAAAAGTGACTAAGTATTTTGGTAAGAGAAGTTGGCATAAAACTTCACTGCCTTTTGGTGATCCTAATAGAGTCCTGTTTTACTGGGGAAGAAAGGGTGTGCTGAATACTCTGTTGCTCAAGGACCGCACAGGGGCATCTCTGGTCATGTCCCGAGGCGCTCTCTGCCATGTGGAGTTATTGTTTCGGAAACCAACAGAGCTCCCTGTGGACACAGGCATGCTACAGTCTTAGCAAGTGCCATTTCTTGTTTTAAGGTATGGAGTATTCCACCTGAGTCTTGAGTCACAAAATTCCAAAATGCACTCAGATTCTCCTGTTCCTTTCTTTCCCTTTGTCCCAGTGTGCCTGTTCCCAAAGGGCGACCTTTTCCACTTCTTTTAGTTCTTTCTGACTGGCTGCTCTCAACCCAAGGGGCTCGCTAATATTGTCTTTTATTCTCTCAACCTTAAAAAGACTCTCAGGCCAGAAACAGACAGAAAACCTATTGTTGAAGTTCTCCGGTAGACGAGTTCTATGGCTACAATTTGGGTCTTTCTCTTTTTCCTGTATAAATTTTTTTTTTTTTTTTTTTGAGATGGAGTTTCACTCTTGTTACCCAGGCTGGAGTGCAATGGTGCGATCTCGGCTCACCACAACCTCCACTGCCTGGGTTCAGGCAATTCTCCTGCCTCAGCCTCCTGAGTAGCTGGGATTATGGGCATGTGCCACCATGCCCAGCTAATTTTTTGTATTTTTAGTAGAGACGGGGTTTCACATGTTGACCAGGATGGTCTTGATCTCTTGACCTTATGATCTACCTGCCTTGGCCTCCCAAAGTGCTGGGATTACAGGCGTAAGCCACTGCTCTTGGCCCTATAAATTTTTATTTGATATGCAAATTTCAGTATTTGGGTATTTTAAACATCTCAACCAATTTCCACAAGCCTGCTCACATCACTGAGTGTTATATTTATTCTGGGATCTAGTGTTTAGTTTAAATCTCCCTTTGCTTAATGTGTTTTTCTGTCTCCTGGCAATATTCAACTACCAGGCTAAATAACTTCTCATCCTCCTTAGTGTATGCACCTTTTAAACTCTTGCACATAATTAGCATATCCCTTCTTAGTCACTGTTTACCCAAGATGTACATATTAGTTCTTTTAATATTTCTTCATAAGTCAGAAAGAAGGGCCTAGAGCTAATGGCAAGAGAAAAATGTTCTCTCCTATTTTCCCCAGTGTGGAGGCAAATCAGCCAGGAATAACTCCAATTAAAGTGTGACAGGTGCTGCCGTCTGAGTACGGTGCCTTCGGAGTTCCATACTTTAGTGAACCGTGTACTTCCTATTCAAAATGTTGACTTATTTAGATTTATAAGGTCAACCAGGCATTTGTAACAAGGAGCCATTTGAAATTAAATATATTTCCATGGTACTTTTTTCTTTCATTCCCTTTCTTTCTCTCCTCCCTCTGCCTCCTTCCATCCTCTCATCTTTCTCTCTTCCTCCTTCTCTCCCCTCCAGCCTCTCTCTCTCTCTCTCTCTCTCACACACACACACACACACACACGAACAAATGCAGACACACATGCACATACACCCCAACAAAGAACTATGTATTTATATATAAGCTTTTACTGCTAACTTTTAGGGAGCAGCACACACATTTCCTCACCCTCAAATACTTGCTTACTAAATAGAGCAGGCCTAGTCTCAAAAACTCCATGGGACATGACAATCAGCCCCCAATTTGGAATTAA